ATGATCTGTTTTCTTTTTTCACAACATGCTTTTATTTCTGTGTTCATTTCTCCCATGCTGCAAACAGGTTGTTCAAAACATATTGGATACAGAGAGGGCTCATGTTAGTGAACTACAGGCAAGTTTTAATCACCAGCTCTTTTTTGTCACACATTTTACATTTTACATGTACATGATGGGTAACAATAAGACAGAGATGATGGAATTTCTTTGTAATAATACTTTTAAATTTCTCTAAGGTTTGATGATCACAGTTTTTTTTAAATTCTTATCCACAGGCTTTATTACAAAACTACTTAAAACCCTTACAGGCTTCAAATGTGTGAGTATTTATTATTATTATCATGATGACATTTATTATGACAGCTCTTGTTTGGCATTACAGTGGTAGCTTATCAATGAGCCATAACACTGTTTTTTACATCAAACTTCACATTTACTTAAAGGAGTATTACTTACAGTGCAATGGTTCAATCTTTTCCGATCTTAACCAAGCTTGTTCCATCTAAGCTGTCTTGTTTTTCATGAATACATTTCACCAGAACAAGATTTTACAATCTCTCCATGGTTAAAGATGGTTCTGCATGGCAAGAAAAACAACCTATGATAAAATGATGCAACTTATGGTTGACGTTGGTTTTTTAATTTTTTTTTTTAATTTTTGTTTTATTTTTTGCATAAATAACAGATTACCAGCACAAGACATAAAGGTTCTTGCAGGAAACTTTGAGGAGATTGTCCAGTTTCAGCAGATGTTTTTCAATGTCATGGATGAATGTGCACAGTAAGAAATTATTTTGGTTTTATTTGGGTCGTCATATCCTAGCTATTCCCTGGTTAGGAATGAGGTGTCTTCCAATGGTGGCATTAGGCTATGGTGGGCATCACCCTCAAACTCCCAGAACTGATTAACATGTAACTTCTCCCTATAATATCCATACATTATTCAGCAAACAGGTAATGAGACTACTCAGACTCATCATTTATAAGTTGTTATCTTGATCTAGCACCAAATTCTCATAACTAATTTACAAGGAAATGTGTAGCAGTTAGAGGGGAGAATTCACAATCAGATGTTGGGAGTCAAAGGGTCATCTCTGGAAGTATCAGAAGTTACTTACACGCCACTTCACCATTCAAAATCAAAACATTATCCAGGGAAAAGGTAGAAAAAACAGGAAAACACATTAGTCAGAGGTTGAAACAAGTCATTGTAACATTGTGAATTTCCATAGGTATTTGCTCTCCAATGATTTTATCATTTCTGGTGCAATTTTGAATAAATAAGCAGTTACTGTAAGTAATTTTTTTCAATGACTAACACAATTGCACAAGCCCATAGGGCAAGTCAAATTTTTTGTCCTAAGAGAAATCAACAAGCACTTGTTTACTCTAAATTTCACTAGAAAAATGGTATTATGACTTATTGATAATATACTCAATCAGGAATTAATCTATTGTTATTTATCACTATTTATTTATTTATTTATTTGCTCCACCACAGACTTCCCTTACCTCAACAAAGAATGGGTGCTAGTTACTTGCAGATAGCTCCTCAGGTAAGCACAGTCAGTAACAGTTTTCACTGTTCAACCATTTTTTTGTGGGATCACCTGTTGCTGATCACAACT